CACGGGCCTGACAGAGCTGCTGTGTGATCAGGATGTGGAAAGGAAGAACATGAGGAATTCTTGTTCCCTGATGTAAGTGTAGTTCACTTGGATGTTTTATTTTTCTATCTTGTCTTACCAACCTATGTGGAGCAAAAACTATTGATAGTAAGAGTACATAATAATGCCTAGCCCAGCATTTCTTATTTATGGGTCTCAAAAACGCTTCAGAAAAGTAAATCAACAAAGATGCCCAAACGTAGACAGCCCAGCAGGTTGGCAAGGCAGCCAGGATAGCCTCACTCACAAGGCTCAATCCAGGGGTCTGTCTTTTGGGCTGTGTGGCCTCTTACCACAAGAGCAAGGAAGGGTGATGTCAAGAGTGTGTTCCCATCCACAGTCTGAAATAGCAAGTTAAGTTGCATATAACTTAAACTGTTTTGTGCGGCATGTTTGGTTTTGTCGGCCTGCCAACCTTGGCCACTAAGAAAGAGCACAGAGTATTTTTTAGTGGAGGGTTTTTTAAAACAAGTTGTTGTTGTTTTTTTGTTTTAATTGCTATTTACACGTTCCACCCTCTGCCCTTTTTCAGCTGCAAGGAGATCTTGTTCTATTTTAAAAGCTAGGGCAGGAACTTGAGGCTAGAGACTGTGGCCAAATCAAACAGGAATCTCACCAACCTAATAGAGGGCTGGCTGATAATAAAGGCTGTCTTCCTAAGCCTTTAAAGTTCTGTTCCTCCAAATACATTCACTTATCTGAAGCCTCTGGCTTCCCATGAGGGTATAAACATCTCCCTGTGCAGCAGGGTACCCTTTGACATTAAGAGGAAAATACAACTCAAGATAAGTTGAAGAGGCTTTTATGTCTAATCTCAGCAAGCATTCAGAGGCTGTGAATGTCTTTTTATCCTGAGTTGTTGGGGTTTGTTTTGTTTTTTTTTTCCTGGGAACACATTTTGCATGGAGTTTTATTACATCCCTCACAGCTTTTTTTTTAAGCCCAGCTGTCAGTGCAGTACTTGTTTGGTCAGGACTTGTGTGTTTACTCGGCATCTTCAGTATATAAAACTAGAGCTGTTTGCATGGCTTCCATGCAGACAATTCTGCTAATATTTTAAGGCTGACTACTGAGGCTTGAAAGTAAATGTTTTCCAATTTTAACATTGTACCGTACTCACAAGAGCAAGGTTTGATGTTTTATTTTTTTTCACTGGTAGAAGTTTCGATTTTGTCGCTGGTATTCCTAATTAGAGCGATTTAAATAGGTGGAAAAGTTTTCATCTCTTCATAGGTGTTGAGAGGCTGTCAGTGAACAGCTCATAGAAAGCCCAACTCGCTTTCATAAAAATGTGAGCCTATCCATGTGATTGCTGAACTCCTGCACTCCTACTGCAATAATGATCGTCTCCTCCAGGAGTGCTGGGCTCCAGTGTGCGCTTCCAGACCTGTTCACAGCTCCTTGCTTCACGCCCCTTCCCTGAAGCAGAAGCAGAACTAGCTGGGTACCGACCTGGGAGAAAACAAGGACATTTTAGCATCACACTTACTCTTGTGAAGTGGAAGCTTCTTGAACCTTCTCCTTTAGGACAAGTGGTAGTGGCTTCAAGTTGTGCCAAGGGGGGTTCAGGCTGGATACTGGGAGACATCTCAGAAAGAGCCATGATGCAGTGGCACAGACTGCCCAGGGAGGTGTTGGAGTCACTGCCCTTGGAGGGGTTCGAGAAACACAGGGATGTGGCACGGAGGGACGTGGTCAGTGGGGATGGGTTGATGGTTGATTGTGATAATCTTGGAGGTCTTAACAAGTCTATGATTCTGTCATACAAATGAAGGGAGTCCCCCCCTCTACCTCCCAGGTCCTTCCACACCAGGTGTTCCCCATGTCCCAGCCACCTTACAACTATATTTGTTTTCTTCAAAAGAAAAAATTCCCTTGAGGCTCATGATGCAAACTCGTTTTTAGATAAAGCACATATTCAACCACTGTAATTAACCTTCAGTTTTAAAACCTCCATTTTCAGATCAGCTCCCTACAGGCTATTTTTTCTGTTTGCAGGAATGCAGGAGTGATGATGGTCTGTCGGGATACTTCACCTATTCATTAAGTTTCATTAGATAACATTTGCTCTTTGCCATTTACGAATGTGACGCTTTCTGATATAATTAGTGTTACTCCAATCAGAATAAATGGCTGTTTCATTTATTTTAAGTGGGTCATTAAAGTGCCATTCCTGTCTTACGCCTCTGAAGCTGACAACCATACCTGTGCACTCCCTTTTGTGAAGTCGCATCTAATTTCAGAAGGCAAATGGAAAAGGTAATGTATCAGGGCAGATGTTGCTTGTGGCTCCTGCTGAGAGAGGTTCCTGGGCGGCTGATTTTCGCATGTGCTTGATACTCTGATATACTGACAGAACTATTTGCTAAGGCACCTTTTGAAGAAATTCCCAGAGGCATCGAAAAGCTGGGAAATATTTAAAATACATAAGGATAATCTTCTGTTACTGTATGAATTCCTCTTAGAGCTGTGTGGTTGTTAGAAGGAACATGCACAGACTGTGGCTTATCAAGAGCAGTCCTCGGATCTTTGTTTTCCCCACATTTATTCAGGATGTCCTCTCTCCAGGGGTCATGCTTGTAACCTGGGTGTAGCAGCTCTTTGTATTTCTCAAAGAGGTCCTGAGTCATTAGATAGTGCAATGCTATAAACGCCATTTTCTGAGAATTGAAGGGCAGATTTCTGTGATTCTTATCTGGGGAAGGGACAGAGATATCTCTTTTGAGAGGGAGATTTGAGAGCAGTGGGTCACCATGGTGGACTCTTTCTGATAAATTCTCCTTGTAGATGTGGAATCCTTTGACGGCTACATGTTTAAAAAATGCTTAAGGCCACATCTGCAGGAGAGTCAGCCTGATAGTTTTGGATATTGTAAGTAACAAGCAGGACTGAGGCTCAGATCATCTAGTTGTCCTCACGAAGATCTAGTGTGATTTTTAAATTTCTCAAGAAGGGCAAAGATTTCAGAAAACAAAGCATATTCTACTTTACATCTTGCTGTGGGATTAATCTACTCAAGATGTAGTAAAAATGGCTTTTCCTAAAACTAGAAGATCAATGGAACTCCCAGGGTAGCTTTCTATTGATGAAAGTGTGTCAGATCTTAGATTGCTAAAAATGTAAAAAAAAGCACACAAACCCAACAGCAAATAAGTTACTGCCAACACATTTATTTCTCTCAGCATTTTTTTTGTTTTTCTCTAGTTTTCTCCAATTTTTAAGATTTCTTTTTTTTTTTTTCTTATGGTCTCTGGTTTTCATTTTACCATGACTTCTCCTCCCAGTTCATCTAGGTTGCAACCATCAAGATATTTCTCTGGCTCTCATCACAGATGACTCATCAAAGCCAAAGCACCCATTAATCGATCATCTTACTGATCAGCTTTATTTCTAGTAGTGTCTAGTACTGAGAAAAAGTTGTTTGAAGATGTTCTTCCCATCCTCCTCAAAGCCAGTGGATATCGTGGAGGTGAGCTGCAATCAATATCCACTGTGATTACTATCCAATGACTGGATCAAAATATATAGAGTAGTGAAAAAAAACAAGTGGGAGCCAAATAGGAGGGATTTGTCCTTCTAGGCACATTGTGATAACTCATCAAGTGTTATTAATGCTTGTATATTGGAGCCATAAAGGTGAGCGTCTGGCCAAAGGTTCATAGGTTCACACAGGATGTGCTTTATTGTAATACCAATGAAATACAGTCAACAGGATACAGAGGGGATTTCAACCTGAGTGTAAGGGCTACCAAAGGGTTACTGAAAGTTACCTATATACACAAAGTACAGATTCCTCCATAGAAACACTTTCTCACCTTCTTCCTTCAATCTCAAGTAAAGGGGTAAAGCAAAGGTCAGAGAGCAGTGTGTTATTAAATTAAGAAAGTCAGTGTTCTGAGGTTGTCTGAGAAGCAACAGAACCTGTAGCATGGCAGAAGGGAGGGGGAGGCTTTGCAAGGAGAGCCACTGTGGTGCTTCTGCAAAATGTTTTTGGTGGATTTTTGTTTTACCTCATGCATGTGAAGTATGGGCCAGTTACTTGATAAAAAGCCTGCTCCCAACAGGGAGAACAGGTACAAGGAATACTCCCTTCCTCTGGAAATCAAGAGCAATCCACCTGCAGTGGGTATCTTCTAGTGTTAGAAGATCTGTATCACAGACGCTGGTATAGTGGAGTCATGCAGAGGAAGTGTCAATAGGCTTAATATCTATGTACTGTATAGAGCTGCCATGTGAATAGGACAGTCCTCTGATGCACCAACAGGGCAGTGCACCTTGCAGTTGGCTGCAGCCTGGCTCTTCTCCTTCTGCAGGGATGAGCTGGTGGATGACTGGATCAGCCTTCCCCAAAATGTTTTGCTACAGCTGCTCTCAAGCATTTTATAGGCCTTCTTCTTCATCTCTTGGCTTGCAGGTAGCTTATTCCTCTCCTTCAAAGTGCATGGCACATGTTCAGACTGCACGTGTGTCCTGGCGTGGAAACAGTCACACTGCCAAATCCTCCAAATGTTGTAAAATTCCAAGACCCAGTCCAAGTCTCTTAAAATAGCACATGTCTGAGCAAACTTCCTGGGGTTTTTTAAACAGCCTTCTAATGTGTGTGTTGGGGTATGAATGGAACTGCGGATTGCTGGAGTGTCAAGGGAACGAATGTGTATATACCCAAATGAGAATATTATGAATGAGTCTCTTCAGAGAAGAACACTGATGAAAAGGACACTGTTAGCAAAAACAACCACAGAAGTACGAGCAAATACTCGGAAGGAAGAACACCCAGGGGGAGTGGGTTCCCACTTTCTAGTGAACTACATTATTTTCTTTTCAGAAGTTATGCTAAATAGGAAAGATTTTCCAGTTCTAGCAAAAAAAAAAAAAAAAAGCCCTGAAATGATGTCTGTCCTCAGTGAAAGGACTTCAGGGCATGATGGTAGGTGCCAGAGAAATGTACTTCCATGGCAGTAGGACAGACAGACAGAGCTCTCTTAATAGGAAGTAAATGTTTTAAAAAGTTACTCTCTCATCTGTCATCATGGGATTGAAAAGCCTGACCATTTTGCATGTATTTACCATTGCAGCCCTCTGAAGATAGATGGATTTGCTAGACTCCCCATGAAAAAGATGAGTAAATGTGGCAGTGAAGACAGTGATCTGTCCAAGATTCATTCAGTGTTGAATTAGTCACCTTCATTTCAGGCTATCAGTTTCCCATACCATTCTCTACCTTTCATATAGTCCTTGTATCTGCAGTATGAGCAGATGGGGAGCTGGTAGGGAATGTGCCCTCTGTAGTAATGCAGCCCACTGCTTTCTTTACCTTAGAAACTACCACAAGCTTCAGATCCAGTTTTCTTCTAGCTGTTATTGTTCTGCTTTTGCTTAGCTGGGTTCTTCAGCTTTCAGATCAGACTACAGATCTTCTGCAGTTCTTCTACCTGTCTTTCCTTTCATGAGGTGATTTGTTTCCATCTTCAGCCAGGACCCAGGCAAGGAGAACTGTGTAGAAATGGGAAATGGGGCAGAAGGCTAACCAGGCGTTTTTAAAGCCTGTCTCAGGTTTCAGAAGAAAAAAAAAAGAGAGAAAAGAAATTCTTTGCTTTTTAAATTCTATCTTTACCAACTAGAATCTGCTTTATCTGCTTTCCATCAAATTAGTGGGCAGGCATGGTAGTGATGGGTTGACAGTTGGACTAGATGATCTTAGTGATCTCTTCTAACCTTAGTGATTCTATGAAATCAGAATCCTCACTGCTCCTGGTGAGGAACTGTAAAGCCAGAAATATGTGAAACTCAGCTTGCTTTTTATTGATCTGCCACACATTCCTTGTTCTTGCTGGTGTGTCCTTGAAGAGTACCAAGGGATCTTGGTAAAGGTACCATGTGTTGTGGATTCCTCTTTGCTCCACAGGAGCTTGTATTTCTCCTTGTGGTGTGGGCTGTGCTGGAGGCAGCACTGGCTGCTACAGCTAAAGGCTGAGCTGGCATCTTCTTACCAAGTCAGGCCTCTGGCAGGAGAGGCATAGTCCAGATTTCAGAGAAAGAGCTTTAATGGCTCCATGAGCTTTCACAGAACCCTGGGTAATCAGTGTGGTGGATTTATCCAGGTAAATGGTTTGCAGGTTTTTCCTAGCTCTTATTCGTAGCATACCTATTCCTGCCATGTGTGACTCACAGCACAGGATGGTCCTTTCCTGAATGGGTACAAATACATTTGCAACAAAAGAGCAGTTCGGGAATTCTTGACAACAGAGAACTAGGGACAACATAACAAAAAGGAGTCACAAAGCCCTCTAAGATTGGAATTAAAGAAGCTGATGATGAGAATTGCTTCCAGCATGAGCAATTGTAGTGTACAAACAGTGTAGTTTGTTGTTTTGTATGAGGATTCTATTTGCTCCACTGCTCTCCATGCAGGCTTGAAGCAGTCTGATAACACTGTTATACTCTGGAAGCTTGCAAATAGCAGGTGTACAGCTGATCAACCAAGCGCAGTGACTGCTCATAAATCTCTTTTTGCAAGAGGCTGGTGAACTGGCAAAGATTAAGATACTCTAAACAGCAGTGTAGCATTAGAGGCATGCTAAACAGAATGAAGACTTTTTTGATGATTACTGATATATACATACGATGTAATTATTATCATTGAAAATACCAACTTCCTTTCTTTGAACATCATGTCTAAACAGGAAAAAGCTAACCTTCCTGTTTGGAGAATTGTTAGTTTCAGAAGGAATATATTTTTCTCTCCTACTTGCAGTTTTCAAAGATTTTATTTTTAATACAAATGGAAAAGACAAACAATAGGCTATCTGAAAGGAAGGAAAACCGCACATCTGAAGCAAACAGAGTCTGCTATGAATAGATAATCTTTGCTCTACAAAATAATTCATGTCACATCTATATACCAAATTTTGCATATTGGGAAAGGAAATGTAGACTTATTTTTGGCAATGGCTACACTGTATGCACACAGCACAGAAAGCAAAAGGTAAGGAAGGTTAGAAAGGGAAGAGAACCCTCTTTCAATCCTTGTGCAAGAGAGAATCACTGAGGAGTTTGGTTGGCCCAACATTAGTGCCTAGATATGATACTAGATTGAATAAAAAGTCTGAATTTAACATTTCTATTATGTGCTTGGCATGGAGTGTTCTCTGTGGTTGGTGTCTGTGCTCACAGTGGCCTTCTGGTAAACCTCAGCTCCCAAAATGTGCTCTTGTAAGTTTTGTTGAAGGAAATACCAGTGCAGCAGCATCTGCAGTTCTGTTCCACTGTATGGAATCTTGATGGCTGCCAGGAGCAGCACAGTGACATTGAAGACCAAGATGCTCAGCTCATCTTTACAAGGGATGAAATAGAAAACATGTAACATGTGCATATGCAAAAAGTGCTTGTATCCCAAAGCAGAACAAAATCTTTGTCATCGCAAAGGCGTTTGTAGCTTCCTGAAGGCTGACATGCAGCCTAGTGGAAATGTCACCAGCAGAGCTTTTGTAAAGACTACTGATGTGAATTTGTCTGTGTGGGAAGTCTGCAATGTTGTCATTTCTCCTTCAGGTTATTTCATTTCACTTAAGGCCTTGTTTTTGCTGAGCCTATCTATCAACAACAACTACAAAATTTTCAGTAGTTGAATTACATATGTGCTGAAGGCAACCATCTAGGGAGGCTTGGAAAGACAGCCTGTGTTGTCTTCACCATCTTCCTAAAGTTGTTCCTTCCTTACTCAAAGCCTGACTAATTTATTCACACTTCCTATTTAAGTGAAAGTATTTAAATACTTAGACTATTTCTTAAAACACTGGCTCTTATATCTGTGACTGCATTAATTTCCACCTCATGATCACAGACAAAGTGTAAAGATGTGGTCTTACAGAGTCAAATAACAAACACTTATCATTGTTTTGTAATCTGTCAGGGTGGGTTTTTTTGTTTGTTTGTTTTTGTTTTTGTTTTTTGTGTTTGTTTTTTTAATATACCAGTCTTCTGATTTTGAATGCCTTATTTCACACAACTGTAAGCTTGCATTTGGTATAGAGCAATGAAACTTTGCAACTAATTGCTAGAACTAGTCCTCCTTAATCTACTTGATTTATGAGAGAATTCTGTTTGATCCCGTTTGCAGACTCAGACATTAAATCTTTTTCCTTCTCTTGCCTTTGCTTGCTTCTAGTTTCCACTTGGAATGAAATGGAATGGCATGAAGTGCCCTTTTGAAGAAAAGATGCTTAGGCTGCTTTATATACCCTTTCTAATTTTGGTGATCTCCCAGAGATCCATATGTGCTGCTCCTGCTCCATTTGCAGTGTTTTTACCACTCACTCCTGCCACTCAGTTGTATATTGCTCTTCATCTGTAAGTACTTTGCCAGGTATGGGTCTTGCTTTGTGATTTAACTGGACTGCTGAAATTCACAGTTCTAGCAAGAAGAGAACACATTAAAAGCCATTGTAAAATATTCAGTATCATATGAAATTGAGAAGGTGGCATACAATAATCTGAAGCCCAGATGGTCTCTGGCAGTAAGAAGTAGGAGAGCTGTCATGCTGAGAAAGACCCAGAAGTCAGCAAATGAGCTGAGATAATGATGTAGCACACGAAAAAGAAAGGCAACATGATTCTGAGTAACACATGCGTAAGTGTCCCACTCGAGAGAGTGAACTCTGTAGTCTTCTCTGTGCTACCACAGAGATAGTATAACTGCTGGAGTGGGAGCAATGACAGATAGTAAGTGTAAATTAAGAAGGCAGTAGCTCTAGCAGCATGCTGAACCATCTCCCTGAGGAGGCATTAGCAACTGGGGTTAGCAAATGTGAGTGGATGACACTTTGATGAGCCCACTGTGTGTGGATGGGAAGGGGAGCAGAACCCTGGTCTCGAGGTGTGTGACATAAAAATCATGTAAAATGTGAAGTTATATGTGGTCATGTTATAGGTGAGTTTTATTATCCAACACAGAAATATGTTTGTGGAACCTGGGTTCTGGCCCTGAGTGCCCTGACTTTTAGTAGGAGTCCATGTAGACTTTGGACCCTGACAGGTTTGCTAACTGTAGCTCTTGAACTGCACTGGCTGCTTGACCGGTTAATGTTTATAATACACGTTGGTGTAGGTGGAAGCAAAGTCGTACCATCAAGTATCTCAGCTGATACCATGTGGCACAGAGTCACTGTCCTCTGAATATTTGCCGTGGTGCTACTGCAAATGCATTCACCAGATTCCATCCTAATAGCTTGTTTTAGAGCCAGTGTCACACTTCACACCTTATTCTGGACACTCTCCAGCAAGTTAATGTCTTCTGCTGAGGAAGGTGAGTAAAACTGATGAGAATATCCTTAACTGAAGAGCCATAAAATTCTAATAGAGCAGTAATGTTCCCAGCAAGCCTAAAGGGAATCTGATCAATAGTTATGAGGTTGGAGCTCAATTTATGGCCCTAATTCATCAAGCATAGATGTTCTCCTTTTTTGTACAGGATGCTTTTGCGATTTCTGCTGAGCAGAGCAGTATAAAGTCTGCATAAGCCCTTTCTCAACAGTTCCTCTGGTTTGTCATTTAAAAGAGGTGACTCTATGGTGGCGGTGATCAGAGTCCTATGATCTATTTGAAGTCAATTTTTTAGTCTATAGGACAGACTGTGCCAACTGGGAAGACTGCATTTGTTCTCAGAGTCTCAGGCTTGGAGTGGTTTCACAAAGGATAAAAAAGAAAGTTATTTCAGATTTCATTAAAGTTTCACCCTGGATTTATTCATATGCCTGCAAACCAGTCTGCAATCAGGAAGGGTTCAATAGCATTTTCTGCAAAAATCCTTCTGCTGTAAGTGCCAGCCTCTTGGAGCAGAATTTGCAGAGCAGACTGAGGCTGGGCTTCCTCTATTTTTATGATACCTCTGTGGTATAAGGATGTTTTCTCAGCTGGTCCTTACAGTTTTGATCACTTTACACTTCCAAAATTGTATACAAGGATGGAGGCACACGGTGAAATTTCATCCAAAGTCTTCATTACTTTTATGTAAAAAGTCAGATCTGTTCAAAGTCTGAAGTACATGCAAGTTAGATCTAGCTGCCTCCCACCCATGGCAAAAACAGTAGAGAGAAGGATTTAAAACAGAATGGCAAAGCCTTGGCTAAACCATCTTGGCAAACTATATCTACTTATATTCAGTAGTTCCTCCATATGTTATCTGAATTAAATTTTAAGTATCTGAAACGATAAGAGTGTCTTATAAGTACAGAGTAAGGCCCAAACTGGAGAGGGCCTTTCTATTACTATAACGAAAAATGTTTTGTGAAAGTCATACAGATGTAATTTAAGTATGCTTTTAGAATTGCCATGTCTTACACCATGTGCAGATGCCTCAGCTAACAGTCTAGACTTGCACATGATCTTGATTGTACAGATTCATTCCTCCTTTGGCTGCCTGTCAGTGATGCTTAATAATGTTAAGTACTCTCTGACATAACCTCTGACTTCAAAGAATGCCTTTAAGTATTTGCAGTGGCTAGAGTAAAAAAATATAATAGCTTGACATTTTTAGAGAGCTGAAAGAAAGGCACAGTGATGGCTTTCCTAACAGCCTGCAGGGTCTCTGGAAAGCTGGGACTGCTGCTTCTTTCTCTGACCTTCTGCAGCAGCTTTTGTCTGTAATGTCAGTGGCTGCAATGGACAGAGGCAGGAATGTAGAGAAACCCTCGCTTTTACTTGAGCCAACAGCGACACCCAGGGCTTCCTGAGCACAGCCTGGTCCCTTTTTCAATCCCTCTGCCCCAAGCAAACTTTACAAGGTTTAGCCCTTTTCTGTTCATGGATGCCTACACTGATTGAGACAGAAATAATATTTCACTGTAGTAGTTGTATTAATAGAATATTGAAAGTAAATTAAATCAGTCACAAGTGCTTCTATACTCAAACAGCTGCATTCACATGAAGTGGATTGTACCTTCTTATTTCTATGAAAATAGTTAAGATGGTAGTTTTTGTTTGCAGCTCAGGTCAAGACATGACCAGTTTGTAAAACCATCCATTCCTGCATCTTCACTACAGAGAAGAACTTACCTAGCCAGTACTGGAATTATTTTGGTGAGGTTGAGCAAGCAGCTGCACAGTGCTGAGCTGCAGTTGTTAAACCACAGCAATGATAGATTAGACTTTTTATTAAAATGACCCTGAATGTCCCCCTGCAGACGCATACCTAAGAAAAGAAAGGTAAGAGGAAGAAAGAGCATACCAGATATTTATGACTCTAGAAAACTATTTCAATAGAATCAGAAAAAAAAGATCTTAATTGATCAAGATACAGGACATACCAAGAACAACCCACAAGACAAACAAGTTATCCATATATTCCATCCATAGAATGTGAAAGCTTCCCGGGAGCCACTTATGGCTATGGAGGTAGTTTCTTGTTTGGTTTTCAGGCTTGCTTCAGATCTGAAGGGGATACCTGCTTCTCTCTGCACAGTGGGAGGCAGCTGAGAAAATGACCAATTGGAACAGCAGCAAATGAAGCATCCCAGTAACTGTGGCTTCACCACCAAGCAGAAGAATTGAAAAGGGGAAAGAAATGAATGAAGTTCAAAGGCTGTGTGTTGCAGTTGAGAATCTGAGCCTAGCTGAGTAGAAAACAAACAAAATCTATATAGCACCACTTTAAAACATAAAGTTGTAAGGCACTCCCACACGGTACAGTGGTCTCTTTTTGAAAAGAACAAAAAACAGAAAAACAAAAATGGGCATCTTCCTGTCACTGAAACAGAGAGCTGGAAGTATGTAACACTCTGAAAATCAATAGTAAGTTGTTTGAAGCTGAGCATCCAAAATGTGAGGCATTTGCGATTCATTTAATTCTTCTGAAAATAAGTGCCACTGTCCATAAAATAATTGCACTTTCTTAGCTCTCAAGTTGTTTCCAAGTTTAGTAGGATTTAAAATGAATCTCTCTACCTGCTTTTTCAGGAAAGGATAAAGCAGATCTGTTTTGTCCTCCCATAGCACAGCTAAAATAAAAAGTATTGAGAAAGCTAGAGACCCATCAACTGTCAGCGTGAGACTGTCGCTACAGTTTGCAGCTCTATACCACTGACGCTCCTTTGCACTTTTTTTTCCTTCAGAATTTGGGAAGAAAGGTTATCTAAAAACCAGTCTATATCTTGATAATCTTCAGGCCAACGCAGATATCGACTTCTTTGTAAAAAAATTCGAATTGGCTTATGTTTCATCAGTTGATATTGAGAAAGTGACCCAACTACTACCATAATGAGAACCTCTTTCAAATCACTGAAGTATCTGCTCTGGGCAAAATTAAAGGCTTCTACACACCACCCATCTTTGAGAAAATGCCTGGTAACAACACAAATTGTTTTCCTGCTCTTCCAAATAGCATCACGAATATTGTTGATATGTTCTTCCCCAGGCAAGAAATCTCGTTCCTCAAAGCACAAAGTAAATCTGTTCTTATCAAAATACTGTGAATCCAAGTGCTTCAGCAAAGAATTCTGGACCCATTCGAAATCATTTTTGCTGTAGCACAAATACGCATCATACATGTATTCACTTGTATCTGCTGCTGGTGGATGGCTTCCTATCAAAGTTTTGGTGATGGTCTTATACCAGACAAAACAAATCCCCCGGCAGCGAGTAAAAATAATGGCTGACATCAGAAACATCAGAAGGGTGACCGAAATGAAAATGAATACTAAGAACCTGAGTGTCTGCTGGAGTTCATCTTCATCACAATCATCATATGTCAGAAGTGACAGTGGTACCCCTGCTAATGCAGGTGGGTATACACAGTACCTGTCAGACTCTGAGCCAGCTAGGGTTACATTGGTTTCATTTAGCCACACTAGTAGGCTTTTTAAAGCACAGTCACAGACATACTTGTTATGTGTTATATCTAGAATACTCAAAGTCATAAAGACTTCAGGCTGAGGGGAAAAAAGCTGGTTTCCAGACAAGTTTAGGTTTACGAGGCTTTGTGGAAAAACCCCAAGAGAGAGGTGAGACAATAGGTTAGAGGCTAGATTAAGTATTTTTAGAGATGTTAGACCACTAAAAATCTCCTGTGGAAGAGCACTAAGGTAGTTGTTGTTCAGGAATAGAATCTGAAGTTTAGACAGCGTCCTGAACACATCCAAACATAAACCTCTCTCCCACACAAGCTGTAACATGTTTTCTCCTAGATCCATATAAATCAACTGGTTATTTTCTATAGCACTAACACGTTTTTCACAGTAAGAGATGCGATTCTGTTTTAAGGAGAGATACTGCATATCTGGAACTTGGAAAAGAACATACAGGTCACCCAGATTTGCGAGCCAATTTCTCTCTAATTCAATATGTGTTGCTGCTATTGCTGTGTGAGCTACAGACATCAGCTTATTGTCACCTAAAAAGGCAGTAGTCAGATGTGGAAAGGAAGGGAGTTTTTTTAAGGCATTATCTCGGAGATCAATTATTTTCAGACTTACCAAGTTACTGAAAGATTTTTGACCAATCATCCCAATATGATTTTGCTGTAAATCAATATACATTATACTGTGTAGCCCCTCAAAAGTATAATCGTACAACTCACCTAAAAGGTTACTTGAGAGATTGAGAATTTTTAGGTTTTCCAAGCCAAAAAATGCTTGCTTTTGAATTTGATTTACCTTGTTTCTGAAAAGGTTTAGAAATTCCAGATTACCAAGGCTTTGAAAGATTAAAGAATTGAGAGAGAAAATGAATCCATTGGAAATATCAAGCAAACGAAGATCGCTTCTTGCTAGTCCTGTAAATGTATCCTTATCTGGATTTTTTAAGTTATTAAAGCCAAATCCTGAGCCCATTGTATGAAAGCGAAATGATAAATAATTGATTTGAGTCCCCTTAATAGCTGTGCAGAAATACTGGACTGTCTCTGTGCTCCAGCCATTCTCACTAATGTCCAGTGAGTTAAATGTAATATTTCTGAAAGGATTTGGGCATTTGGCCCAGACCATTTTATCCGTCTTATACAAAGTGTTAGAACTGAGGCTGAAAAATGAAAAGTGTTTTCCTTGGAAGCTGGTAAGATTACTTTCACACAGGTTGGATATCTTGTTGAATTTGAGGTCCACAGCTTTCAAGATGGTTAGATTATAAAATAAGGGGTGTGGATGAAGTTTTGTGATTTGGTTTCCTGAAAGATCCAATTCTTCTAATGAGCTCAGATCTTGAAAGTAACGCTGCTCCAGGATGGAATCTCCAAGGTTGTTCTGAAACAGACGGAGTATGGTCAAACGTTGCAAACCCGCAAAAGAATCGAGATCCAGCAGAAGAATGTTATTGAACCCCAGGTCCAAGACACGAAGGTTTGGCAGGTTCCTGAAAGCTTCTTTTCCTATGTAAAGGGGAAAGACATGTTGTGTTCCAATTTCCAACAAAAACAAATCCTCCAGCAGTGGAAATGAAGTTGCAGTCACTTGTCTGATATAGTTGTAAGTTAGAAAAAGCTTTGCGGTGTCCTTTGGCACAGGTGGAACACTTGTGAGGTTGCAGGAATTATACATGGACACTCGGTCTTCTGAATAGCAGCTTTTAGATGCACATAGATCTCCAGCTAGTAATATACCAAAGACAGTTATTAGCTGTTGATGTAACATTGTGAATCTGCATGAAAAAAAATTAAAATATTAAGATTAATTCTGCTATTGACTGTCTGTGCAATAAGTTGTATAACAGCTTTTTAACAGTTGTAGTATGAACGACTACTGGCATGCTAAAAATGACATTAGGATAAATCCCAGATTGCTTTCTTTGAAGTCTACGAGGTATCATCTGATTGTCTGATTGCTCAAAATATGGGTCCCAAAGAGACATGAGTTCCCAAGACGTGAAAAGTAACCCTACTGCTATACATCTTAAGATGTAACTACTGCAAGATATAAAAAACTACATTTGCTGAACCGTAAATTGTTAAGCTATACAATGAGGTACATACCATAATTTATGTACTCATTGATTAATCCATTTATTAATTTATTCCTACTCTGGATTTTCCATGCATTTTGTCATCTGTCTCTCTCTCTCTCTCTCAGGCAAAAACCTCTCCAAAACAAGGCAAGTCTTTTTTACTGAGCATGATGTAGAGTAGAGTGAATTATTAGCACCAAAGTAGTTGTTTCTGTACTGTAGGTAGAAAAAACACCACCACCACAGTTAATTAAGACTGCAGCCATCTGTCTCTCTTTTTTAAACAACATTCATTGAAATGATTTACTGACTGACAACTCAGTGTAAAGTTTTTGGTGACCTCCAGCACAGTCTGCTTAAAAACCACAAAGTGTAAATCCTGGTGGAACCAAACCCTCTGATGGCCACCAAACAGCTACAAGGTATGCCTGTTTCAGAAAGGAAAAAGAGTTGGGCTTTAAGCTGGTAATTTAAAGGAGGTAAATCCCATTAATTGTTAAGATTTAGATGCACTGCTCCTTTAACGTGCAAGAACAGAATTCTATGCAGAATTTAGGTCTTGAACTAAAATCTTTTATGCTTATTGCTATTGTGTAAGGGGCACAGACTGAGGAAATGAAGAAGTATATCAATAGAAAACAATCTGATACTCACATTTCAAACACCAAACAGAAGTCCAAGCCATTTTTAACAGACTGCTAAATAGGAATTACTAATAGATTAGTACAGTACAATCAAGTCTCATAAACTTTGACACAGTCCCACAGAACCTAACTCTTAACAGAGTACCAAAACTCTGTTAAGAGACTTTAACTGCGTCTGAGAGGAATTATCCCTAGTAATAGAAAATAATTGTCTTTTCTACTCCCCTATTTTTTTTATTTTTTATTTTTTTACCTAGCAGGCACTGTTGAAAGGCTGCATTCTAAGTAGCAAACTATATAGTATTGTAAGTCTTCTTCATTACTACAAAAGAGGTAGGGGGACTGAGACTGTGACCTTTGTAATATATATGAGCCAGAAAGGAGTTAACTGTCCCCTGGAGAGTCACAAAGAAGAATGAAGCAGCAGAGGTGCTGGCTATCTGGACAGGCTCTAGAGAAGATCACTCTGATACAATTATTAGATTTATTAGTAGATTGTTAAAGATTTTTATCAGTAACTTATTGTAGTGACCATAGTAGCTTCCCGTGAAGAATTTTCCTAGGTGATGCTCGTGTAAACTTTCACCAAAACCATCCAGGCCATTTTCTGTAGGTCACTGAATCACAGATGAGTGGTGTGCAATGGTACCAACTGCTTTTGATAAGTGCCTGAGAATCTCACCTATAATTGCTGCAAGTCTGTAGAGGGAATGAACCTGAATCCTACTGCCAGCTGGGAAGGCATTCTTTTCCTTTAACTTCATATCTAAAGGTCTTGCAATCTTGAAAGCAGGATGTAAGATCTCACTTGCTGTTATCCTGATGTTTTTTTATGAAATGCTGCTAGCTGACACAGGCACCACAAAAGCTCCCAAGGGAAAGAGAAGAAAAATGTAGGTTCAAACAATGTCAGCATGTATTTCTTGCCTGTAAAATTAATACGTAGAGGCCAGTACTCTTCTTTCCCTCCATACCCAGCAGAGACAAAGACCATTTAATTTTCTGTTTTGATTTTTCATCCATGATGAGATGTCTTTGTATTGAAAAAATCAGTGATTTAACATAAAATTAATCTGTGCACTGATTTCACCATCACTCTCCAGTTTTGCTTGCGAATGTCTACAAAATACACTTAATCCAAGTTCTGTATGTACATATCCAGAGCCAGGCCAACTGAATAGAAATTGTTTTATATTTCTTTAACCACAACTGCAGAGTTTGCAACAGATTCTATGAATAAGTTTCTAGACAGAGTGGAGCCATACCTCTGCTTTCTGTCAAAATCTAAGATTTGATTTAATCCTCTGATTTCAAATCCAATCATCAAGAGATGTTTCTGTGTAGATAATCATATCATTTCAAATGTTACATTTCTGATTTTTAGATATAATGCATTCTTTCTAACTTCTGTCCCTCTTCTGTCTTCACCAGACCTGTGGTACAATGAACTGAGGGTCGTGCCCAGATGGAGCTTCTAAATTCCACTTGAATTATTTACAGTCTTAGTAGGGTTTTTTTTCCGACACACACTGCTTCTCTCTCCATGGCATCCAACATTGCTGACATGAGTTACAGGACATCAGCCTCCAAACCTTGGAAAATGATACATCTAAGTGGAAGGAGACACTGAAAGAACTGGGAAAGAGTTTCCCGCAGCTTTCCAGTTTTGCAGAACAAAGGAAATACTGATTGAATGCAACATTATGCCAAGGAAGCACGTATGGACAAAATGAAGAAGACAGGAACAGCAGGTGCTAATCCTGTACTCAATACTCAGCTCTGAAGTTGAAGCTAAAACTAGCTTTTTTAATTCAACAAACCAAAATTAAGCAACCATTATTGTAATTCCAGGAGTTTATAATCTTCCAGAAGAGCTCTTACAGCTCTTGGATTGTTGTTTGCTCAATAGCCAAGCCTCAGTAGGAGAAATACAACATTGTTACCTCACATACATACTTGCTTACAGCCTTGTGGTTAAAGCAGTGTCTTTAGATACAGCCTGAAGCTTCTTAAACTGAGGAAGGTTAAGATACTCTGCTTCCTTAATGGTCTAACTGGGTCATGGTATCAGAGGTCTCCCCTTTCCATGCTCAGTTTGAAATAAAATGTCCATGAACGGTGTGCTCTGCTCTTGATTTAGAGCTGCAGCTCTGTCAGAGATGTTCCATGCAGGTTCCCCAGAGGATGCAACTGATGTGCAGGGCTCCTCACCCTGGGCTGTTCTGTGCAATGGTTTGCACATACTGGGAGCAGCAGAAGAACAAGGTGGGGCTGTGTAGGCCGATGGCTGAAGGAAGGGCATATGGATCAGATTTTGAGGACTTGGCTGTCCAAATTCTATCGAAATTCACCTGATTAGATTAATGTGTTTTTCTCATTCATCAATTCTGGGGTCCCTTACTGCCACTCAAATGAAGGAGCCTTCCTTTCCTGTTATGTCTGTATATCCACAGCCACATCCTGATTCTTAAAGAACAGCGAGTCATTTTTACTTCTTGGAGGAAGTGCAGATCAAGGAAAGTACCCTTATCTAAAATGTTATAGGTTTTTTTTCACTCGTGGTATCACTTATGGACATCTATCCAAGGGACTGGTTATACACACTGACTGAAAGGCAGTATTTGATATTTGGTAAAATTTCTTAGGAAAAAAAAAAAAACAAAGACCTTCAAAAAGTACCCTCTTTCTTTTAATCTAACAGTAAGCCAGCTGACAAGGAGTTTGTTTATAACATTTATCTAGGCCACAACAGAGATCTTAAAAGATACATCACACACAGTAAGGCCAGCCACATAAAGGGCAGTGAGAATATGCTATTGTGAGAATAGGTATCATTGCTGTTGTCCTATTAGATCAAATCGACTTACTGAAACAAAAATAAGGCTCCATGCTTTTTGCCTGGCTCTAAGCCATCAGAATATATGCATTTGGGCTTGTAAAAAGTTGTGCAGTGTAAACAAACTGTTCATGTGGGGCCCCTCTAGCCAATTACAATCTAAATTAAAAAAGAAAAAAAAATAAAAATCAAATGATTAATGAATGTGCCCTTCCAACCTCCTCAGCCTCTCCCTTAAGCTGCTAGGATGCATAATCCAAATACAGCATTTTCCATCTTGGAATCAGAAAGTGTGCTATAAGGCAGGTGAGTGGTGAGGCAGTTCCTTTCACAGATGGGAGACCTAAAGCAGTAAGGCATTACGTGACCTGACAGAGCACAGGTGTCATAAAAAAAAGCCACTGATTTGGGTAATGAGAAGCTATATATTGGATGTAATTATCTAGTTCCTGTTCATCACTTAGATTCATTTTTATATGCCTTAAGATCATATGGTGAGATGCAGACATGCACACTTCAAAAACCATGATTCCTCTACTCTTCTGTTATTACAGCTCTTGTAAAACAATGTGGTCTCCAGAAGGACAGGGAAACAAATGTGAGCGTATAGACAAAAAGCAGGCTGGTGTTGCTTGGGAGGGAGACACCCAAAACAGATCCAGGCACAGAGAAAGTGCTGTAGCCCCTGAGTCCAGCCCCTGACACTGCTTTGAGCATCTCCCTCCTGAACAGCACCAGCTTGCTTTTCTGCTGGGCTAGTGACCCCACTTGGTTTGTCTGCCAGCCCCAGGCAGCCCTGCTCTCTCTGATTAGGGGATGATGAAGGCTGAGAGAGACTCAACTAGGCTTGAGAAGGGTTTCTAGTACTCTTCCAAGCCATGAGGAAAGGAACTTCTCAAGGCTTCATTGAGGACAGCAAAGATTTTTTCCAACTCACTGCTATGATTGTTTCCCAGTGAGAGCACCTACTCAAAGCTGCATAAACCATCCACACACAGGTGTTCTTGCTGAATCTGTGTTGGTTTCTTTTTCTTTGAAAATTAATATGCATTACCTACCTGGTCTAGATTAGAAGATGCTCTGGGAAAGACAAGTAGCTATTGTTTTGGACTGTGTTTTTCACAAAGTGAGTTTAGCCCAGGGACAAAAAGGCCCTTTTTTTGTGCTTCTGCAGTAATTAGAAACAGCCAGGTTTAACACTCTCAGATCACAAGAAGATCAAAGAAGACCGTAAGAAGTAAATATTAAGAATGACAGCTAGGTTGGAGGTTGCACTTTTAGCTTAGGAGAGGCCAATGCTCAGAGATTTAACATAAAATCCTGAGGAGGGAGTGGAGAAAGGCATCCAGAGCACAACTCCTAGGGCCAGAGGCAGAATTTGGTACAGCCTTGCCTACAAAGCCTATCTTTTAATAAAGCTAGGCAGCACTGTGATGCCATTAACTGGTGGTCAGGCAGAAAGCAGCAGTAAGGGTTGGTAGCTGAAGTCAGCAAATATTACTGAATGGCTGGCTGGAATTGAAGTGACATGGTGGTCACTGCATTACTCCTGCACCCAGTCTGAGCAGAGTATTTAGTAGGAAGTTATTAAAAGATCATAAGGACAGGTGCCGATAACAGACAACAAAGAAATATTTCTTTTGCAAGTATGTTTTCTGCACAAATAGTTTTTAAAAACTATTGAAACATAATAAGCTGCAAATGTAGGAGGGAGACAGACAACTTAATTGAAGTTAGAAACCTGCTCTCCTCTTTTCTTCAGACATTTAAATGGTAATTTGTGAATTTCTTTGCAGTGGGATTAGAGTAAATCTAAGTTAGTTCTAACTTGCCACTGGAGGTGCATGTGAGAAGTACATTTGTAAGTATAGGTGAAAGAAGCCTGTAAGCCTGTGCTGTAAAAGCCATTGTGCACAGGAGATGTAACAAGTGAAGAAGGTAGAAAAGCAGCTGGCCTGCCTGAAAGTCACTGCAAGAAGTGACTGGTGAGCTCCTGTGCAATGCAGTGCCAAACCCTTCTGTGTCAACAAATACCCACTAACTGCTGAAGCACTGATTACTTAGGACTCATTTTGTTTCTAGAAGTTGTTGCACAATAACAGCGCTTCAGGAAGAAACCGAAAGCTTGTCACCAATTAGGGGGAAGACAATGTCTCATTTGCCCTCTGGCATAAAGCCAAGCTCGATGAACTCTCCCATGACCTGGGAGATGGTGGATGCTCCTTGCAGTAAGTCACAGAATTAAAGGTGTACTGTAACAGATCACAGCATGAAACAAAGCAGCACCTACAGCTGCATTTAGACATATTCTGAACTAGAAGTATGCTTACATCAAACCAGTCATGTGATACAGCCAGATTTAGATGCAGACTGCTCGGCCTTAGCAGACCCAAGGCATTGCCAGGAGTACACAAAACAAAATGTTGCATGCTCAGACAGTTGAGCATGACAAAAAAGGGACAGAGAACTCTGATGACCAGGCAAGTGGAGCAGGGCCTCGTCAACTCCTGCCTTGGATGCCTACATACCTCTTAGGAATTTTACACCTTGACTATGCCAGTGCCCCACCACTCTTTCTGAGAAGTATTTCCTCATATGCAACCTGAAGCTCCCCTGGTAGCTTTGTCAGCCTCAGGGGCAGGGGGAGAGGGGAGCTGCTGGGTAACATACTGCTTTCAAAACAGGTGAAGTGCAACCCAGGTGATAAAATCTCCCGCAGGATGGATACCAACTAACGGCTCAGAGCAGAAAGGCTGAGGTGGGAAGGAGCAGCTCGGCGCCTGGACAACCACAGGCTGCAAAGGACCTCAGAAAGGCCATCAGCGGGTCAGGCGCGTGGCATCCGCATCTGCTCCGACCTGCCCGGCTGCCGGGGAAGCGGAAGGTGAAGGACCACAGGTGCACCCAGCGCCAGCACTCCTCCCCGCACCGCTGCAGAACGAAGCCCACCATCACGCCCGGAGAAGAGAACGTACGGGTAAGCGCTCAGCTCGCTGTCCGCAACACGGGACGCAAGGGGAATTCTTGGGTGCGCGGCCACGGGACGCCCGGCCCTCGCTTTGCCCCGTCCCTCCCGCTGCTCGGCCCGCCCCGCACCCCGTGCCTCACGCCGCCCGCACTTACCTTCCCCGGCCCCGGGGCGGCACGGCCGGCTACGAGACCCCCTGCGGAGACGGCGGGCCGGAAAGCGGCCGAGCCTCCCGGGAACGCGTGGCAGCGGCTTTCCTTCTCTCCTCCCCCACACACGGCGGAGGGCTACGCGGGGTTACGCTGGCTGCGGATGGAAGGCGTGCGCGGGGCGGGACGGGTCGCTGCGGGCACGCGGCAGCAGTTAGCAAATGCCTGCAGGGGGCGGCCGTTGCGCTGCCGCGTGCCCAGGGCAGCGGTGGAACACCTGTGGAACGCGAGGACGGCAGCAGTTACATGGATGCTGACTGACTTGCTGCCATCAGCTGCTGTGTGGGGATCCGGCCGCCGTACAACGAGCAATACCATCTGTACTAGGTGATCCTATCGACTCGCCTCGGTGTGAACAATGTAGGAATGGTGTTTGCTGCTTGGTGCTCGAGTTTTCATGCTTACAGGCACGTCTATGGAAAAAGCTTCAGGGGACTTGATAGCAGCCTTTCAGTATCTGAAGGGACCCCCAGGAAAGCTGGGGATGGACTTTTATAAGGGCACATAGTGACAGGATGAAGGGAACTGGCTTTAAACTGGAAGAGGTTAGATTTAGACTAGATGTTAGGAAGAAATTCTTTACTGTGAGGATGGTGAGACACCAGCACCGGTGGGGCTGGGAGCAACCTGGTCTGGATGGAGGTGTCCCTGCCTATAGCAGGGGGTTGGAACTAGATGATCTTAAAGGTCCCTTCCAACACAAACCGTTCTATGATCTCTGTCACTTCTCACCCTGACCAGGGTCACACTGCCCTTTCAGTAAAGAATTCCTAACATCTAACCTAAATCTTCCCTCTATTAGTTTGTATAGGGCTGCTGAATCACAGCCTGAACCTCTGATTGATCACCTGAAGCGAGCACTGAGTCAGCCCTGGGAGCACAGGTGAAGGCAATTCAACTGTGCTTCAGGAAGGGGTGGAGCCTGGCTCCACTTCTCCTAGACCCATTTAAGAACTGACTGCCAGTGGGGAAGGGTCTTTTCTGGAGAGCTACTCCACTGGAGTTTATTACACAAACCCAAGATTGGGTAAGTGTTTTCTTTTCCTTACTCCAGTAAGGAAAATCATAATTACATCAGACCAATTACTGGATATACTATACCATCTGTATAGTTATTGATTGTACAATTGGCAAGCTAGGCAGGAGAAAATAACATGAAAATAATTGAATGGCGATTCCACCTGCTGTATTATCCAACAGGGGCAGGCCTCATCAAATGTTATAACGGTATTCTTAAGGCTGCCCTGAAGACAGACTCTCAGTCCCTGCAGGGGTGGACGAAAAGACTGTATGAAACCCTGTGGGAGCTGAATGAAAGACCCTGAGACGGCAGACCCAGTGCCCTCAGGATGCTGCAGACAATGTGGACCACCCCGCTTAGGATCCAAATTACGGGCACTGATCATCAGGTAAGACCCCAGATTGGTAACGAAAATAATCTTCTGCTCCTTGCCCCTGAGAATTTAGATCCTGGCACCTGTATAATAAAATGGCCCTGGAAGGTGCAAGTAGGACCCAACTGGTGTGGCCTACTTGCACCTTGGGGGAGATTGTTGGAGGCAGGAGGCTCAGTAGCCCCTCCAGCAATAGGTACATGGCCTACTGATACTGTGGTCAACATTCCGATTTTCATTGGTAAAGGGACCCCCATCGTGTCCCTGGGGCAGATCAGGACACCTCCTTTGGTGCCTGATATCGTTATGCAGCCGCAGACATCCGGCCAGAAGTTGTGGTACAGGCAGCCAGGACGTGCCCCAGTACAAGTGGAAGTGTTGACTCAGGATAGAAATACGGCCTGTATCTTGCCCTGGAGGGCAGATCTTCCCCTTCTGGTGCCTCTGAAACGTCTGTATTACTCCCTGTGAGTCTTTGAGGATTACTGGAAGGAACGAAATGTCATCAAAAGTGTTCCAGTGTTGCTATCAGATCATGTCCAGCACCTGGTACTGGTCTACATGGGACTGATGGAACACAGAACAGACCTGCACCTCGTGACTATATGCCTCCAGTAACATCATTGAGCACTGGCCCATAGAAGAATATCAGTGTTCACCGATCATCACTCATCTTAAATTTTACCAACATGCGTTGCGATGAAATTGTATAAGCGTGGTATATCGGATCTCTGTATTAGGAAAAGCTCACCCTGTAGTTTGGTTCATGCTGTGAAGGGGTGGAGTGTGTGGGGCTGCTGAATCACAGCCTCTGATTGATCACCTGAGGCAAGCACTGAGTCAGCCCTGGGAGCACAGGTGAAGGCAATTCAACTGTGCTTCAGGAAGGGGTAGAGGCTAGCTCCAACTCTCCTAGACCCATTTAAGAACTGACTGCCACTGGGGAAGGGTCTTTTCTGGAGAGCCACTCCACTGGAGTTTATTATGCAAGCCCAGGTTTGGGTGAGTGTTTTCTTTTCCTTACTCCAGTATCATAATTACATTAGACAAATTACTGGATATACTATACCATCTGTATAGTCAGTGATTGTACACAGCTTAAAGCCATTCCCTCTGTTCTCTCGCTGTCAGACCATGTAAAAAGTTGATTCCTCTTCTTCTTGTAAGCTCTCTTTAAAGACACAGCGAGGTCTCCCCAGAGCCCTCTCTTCTCCAGTCTGAACAAGACCCGTTCCTTCAGCCCATTTTCATAGGAGAAGTACTCCAGCCCTCTGAGCAGCTTTATAGCCTTCTCTGGACCCATTCCAAAAGCTCCCCATCTTTTTTGAGCTGGTGGCCCAAGAAACTGAAGCCGAATGGTTGTTCTGTATCTACTGATTTATTTACCTGGTACAGTGACTCTTATAGAAGAATACAGTATCCAGGAATCAAAAGGCATTTAAAATATGAGTACAGGGTAATTTTTATTTTAAAATTTTGCTCTAATCTTCTGGGAAACGTTTTTGTAAAAGAGCTTTTGCATTGGCCAGATAACCTTTTAGCACTGTGCTGCTTGGCCATAGCCACAGCTGTGAGCTGGGGATTCATTTACATTGCATAGAAGAGTTTCCTAAAATGTTAGATCTACAGGGTATGCTGTGTTAACCAAAGCATCACTAATCAGGACAGCTGGAGATGCCTAGCAGAATGAGGGCTGTGTCCTGAGAGTCACCCATGAAATGAGTCTGTACTCTGCTGAGGTTGAAGAACTCTAAACCTTATGGAGCCAACTGCCTAAGACAGCCATTACACCTAATTTCCAGCAGTTGTAGCACTCCTCTCCTGCTCCTCCAGATCACTCCTTCCAAAGCCTCTTTTCTCATATTAGGATCTGACCTCTGCTTCTGTCTCTGATGTCCCACCAGACCATGAGGAGATCTCACTGGGAAGTTCTCTATTCCAGCTGAAACTCTTTCGCTTTACGTGGAATTGATTGGGCCAGAGATGGCAGCAAGGTGCCTGTCCTCATGCTAACCTGGCTTTTGTACTGTGAATTACTGATATTTTTGTCAGTTCTCTTTTAGGTATTGTAACTAACAGTACATGCACGTATTTTGATGGTATCAGTGCAACTCTTCAGTGATCCACTCATGTTAAATCAGGAGGAACACTGCAAGACATTCAGGCGCTGAAGGAAAAGTTCCAGAGCCACAGTAACACTACTTGTGTAGCTAGAGATTAATTGTGCTAAGTTTGGAATACTGCATTTAGATGGAACACGGGGAATTAGATAAAGCCAAATAAAATAGCTTAGGAAAAGTCCTACAAAATTCTTTCAGATCACTTTGGTTATTAAAAAGTGTTTGTTCTGTGCAAATTTGCAGCTTGAGGAAGTGGTTGTGATACTTAAGCCCAAGTAGTATAATCCTGTTTTTCTATTTGGTCCTGTTTTTCCCATTTGCAATAGAAGAGATGGAACTGGATATTTGAAGTTCAGAATATATTCAGGAGTGATCTCTACCACAGTAATAAACTGGGGAAGACAGTAAGGATGTAGCAAGTCTCATGTTCACCCAGTCTGTCACCCCTTTGCAGGTGGTGACGGTAACACTCAGCAACAGAATATAGATGTTTGACCCCAATTTGCACATATCTCACCCTGTGGAAGTATCCTATATGGATACTTCAGTTTCCATTCCTTTATTGTAGCTTGTTGATACAAGTGGGAAACATGCAAGTATTGTGGGTTCTTTGTTTGTTTGTTTTGTATTCTGTTAACATAGGCCTCTAACTGTTCATCCACATTCATAAAAGGCTGAGATGTTTTATTTTGAAGTTACCAAAGCAAGCCTGGAACCCAGAGAGAACTTAGGTGACACCTTAGCTGGTTTCAGACTACGATAAAAACTTTGTAAGTGCCTGCAGCAGCAGGGAAGCAGGAATCCTTTCCTAGCTTTAGGTTTTGAGTGTCTTTTATTTAAAATATTTGGTACGTTTCAGCACAGAGGCTCATCTCAGGGTGATGCAGCATTCACTGCTGCTTGCTAACTATACCATTACAGGAATGGCTTTTGTGAAAGGTTGGAAGTCCAACCTGGAACTTTTTCAGTTGGGTGCATTGAGTTTGATCTCTCTAAACTAAGCTCACAGGTTATTATTACAAGTGAAATCTTGGTTCTGAATTAAATCCTTTCTTTTCAATTATTAAAAACCTCTGAGTTTAAAATACATAATTCACAGGGCTCTATCAAAGATGCTGACATACTCAGCTCCTGAAAGAAATGAAACAGCTCCGTGGTCTGTTAAGCAGCCTGTTTCTTTCTCATACTGCCCCTGACATACACACATCACATTTTCCACAGCACTGTGCTGACACCTTTAAATGCCTTCTTGCACAGAGGAAACAATGTAATTCCAAATGATGCAGAGCATGTTGTGTTTTGACTACAAAAAGAACACCTACACAACCATCTCGTGCTGTTGTCATTTGCAAGCAGTGATGGAAATTAAAACCAAAGCTGTCTTCCTGTACTGTGTCTGTGCAAAGAAGAGGTGCTCCCAGCTCCCCTTTGCATTATGCAGGACATACATGTGGTGAGTGAGATACCCAGCAAGCAGGCTCACCTCCAGGTGCCACTGCCTGAGGTTCTACTGAGCTTCAGTCAGACACTGCTAAGCTCTGACTGGGATCCCAGTCACCATATGGGGTTAGGAAAAAAGGAGAAGAAAAGATATTCTCTCTACTGTGTGCATCAAAACACCGAAAATTACAAGCAATCGCTCTCAGATTTTTACCATGTCCTCAATATTTGCAGCCTCTTGAACTTAAACACTGCTGTGCTTAATTTTAAGGATATTAGTAATTTCAAGAACACATCTTATATGAAAGTTCAGTTCTAAAAGGCCAATATAAGTGTTAGGAGTTTTTGTAACAAACAGTCATTTGTTTCATATTTTGGTAAAGACTTCAACAGGTTAATAGGGTGTTTACTGCAACATTTTATTACCAGCTATGATGTCTCCTATACTTGTGCTTGTAACATTTCCAGTGCATACCACTCCATTTTCAATGTGCTCATAAAATATATTAATAATCTACAATCTTTATAAGCTCCCTTAAAATGCAACCAGGATATAATCTTTACTGAAATAAGATCCAAACACATGCTCTCCCTTGTATTTAATGGAGTGGATTTAATACTGAAAAAATGTGCTTCCAGCTAGAGAACAGGCCCTTGCGTGTGCTGCTTGTGCAAACGATGTTTGCCAGCTATAAAGAACTCGAACTATGAAATTTAAGCCACAGAAGGTTATCTATGGCAAATGACTAATGCTTTCTAAATTAAGGCCTATAACTGCACTCCAGTGATTAATGCATTAAATTACTGATTTCTTGTATGTAAGTCTCTTACCAAATGTATTTCTTATTGTGCCTCTGGGCTCTCCTACAACGTACAATAAGCAGGTGAAATACATGATCACTGCTCCCAGTTTTCCACTAAAGCAGGCTTCAACCCACAGAAAATCAACACTGTAATGAAGTCATTATTTCTGGAGACAGGTGTTTACATGTCTTGCATAGCTAATGAGATTAGGCCTCTTTACCTTGAGTCTCAGAATTATCATGCGAAATATCAAGAATTATTTGGTGGTTTTTTTTTCCCCACCTGGATTTCACAACAAACAGATGAATCTGGGATCTTAATAAACATCCAGCTTTAAAAACTAAAAGTCAAGCTGTAGGCTGTTGAGTGGGGAATTACTTATGTCTTAGAAGAGTATTAGGAAAGCAGTGAACATAACAGTTTGTCCACAGAATGGATAGAATTAGGCAAGATACATCTCTGCATGTTGCGAGATAATTATTTTCTGTTTGTGCATATATAAGGATCTAAAATGAGCCTCTTAAAGTCGTATTTTTCTACTGCAGGCAGCATCAATTTTGAGCAAGATGTGTGTTGGTGAGCTCTGTTCTTACTGAGCTTGAAGACTTCAGAGAAGCAGTTTTTGCACTCATGGTAGCCTTGGCTACCACTGAGATCAATCAGAAATAGGATTATGTTATGTTATATGAGCAAAGGAAAGAAAGATCAGCAAAGTTTGATCAATTTATGAAAGTGCTCTACCAGTCCTGATGTTAGAATAACTTAGCATACTACGCTTTAAAGGTACTTTAGCTTAAAAAATTCCCATATTATCATTTTAAAACTTGCTTTAAAACGGAAGATAGTTATCAGACTGAAGTTTGATCTGTTGAAATAGGTGTGGCCATATTTTGGCAAGATAGCTTAGTGTTATACTTACCATGCTTTGAATTCCGAAAAATAAGGCAAAAAAACACCAAAGGACGGTGCTTTAGGCACAACTCTGGTACAATTTAGGTACGTATGGTTGGTTGTAAGAGAAAAATGTGCTTCCACGCTTAAAGCTGCAGGGTTTTGCAGACTGTACAGCCCCAGACTGTCTTCATTCAATACTTGTAGGGGGCACAAGCCAGCCCCAGTTTTGGGTTCTACTGCTGGGCGAGACAGACAGAGCTGCAACTTCCTTCCTCCCATGGCTGTGCAGAGCAGACCTTCGTTCAATCAGTGCCCACCAGCCAGGCATTATCCTGTTCTGCCTGTTCTGCAAAAAAAAGCTGACCTGAGCTGAAAGCTGGGCTGTAGCATACTGGTCTATGCTGGCTTCTGTGCTGCTGAATTACCCAGCGTTTGTATGTGAATGTACACAAACAAATATCCATACAAACTCAGGTCTCTATCCACAGAAACACCTCAGGAATCACACAGTGATATCAGGTAAGACAGCTGCTAAAGAGAGAGAGAGACCCAAGAAGTAATTCCTGCAGCGTTAACAAAAAGGAGACATGAAGGTAAAACAAAATCCACTGGTAACACCAAAAGAAATGTCCCGTGAAATTGAAAATTGAACATGCTGACAATATGCCAAGTTTCTGTCTGCAGCTGGGATTCAAAAGTCAGCACCTCCAAGACAGCCTCGTGCTTCCTCCTGCATTCAAAACATCTGTCACTTAGAAGCAGCATATTCGATGGCTCGTTGCTTCATTCTGACCACTTCTCCAAATGTGAAAATGACAGCTGAATTGCAACATGTCACATTGTGCCATTCGAAAACACAAAGGCTGAGGACAGCAAAAGAAAAAGCACAGCAAATTACTTTTTGCACTTCCAGGAACGTTATTCTTTCCAGGATCTCCGAAGTGGTTTATTAGCAAAGTGCATCATATCCTAGAGGAAAGGTCCAAAACATCTTTTTCTCACATGGAATGACGTCTTGCAAGCATCAGAAAAATTATATGAAATCTTGATACTAGCTCCCATTTCTACCAAGAATCAAGAGCAAGTGTTCATGAAGAAGGATGAATTCCTATGTTTTCAAGAATAAAACCCAGCACATGCACATCTGCACGTCACCTTTCAGCCTGTCACTTCACCTGGAAACCTCGAGTTGTGGCAAGACAAGCAATGCTTTTGCAACTGCTGCCTTTACACTGGTTTCCTGTCTGGGTGACAACCCTGGTGGACATGCAGCTTGTAGAATCATAGAATAGAATTACAGAATCACAAAAATGGAAAAGACCAAGATCATCAAGTCCAATGGTCTGCCCATCCCTACCATGCCCACTGACCATATCCCTCAGTGCTACATCCCCATGGTTCAAACACCTTTCAAACTCCACCACCTCTCTGGGCAGCCTGTCTCCTATTACTGTTACCTGGGAGAAGAGTCTGATCCCCCACCTCACCACGACCTCCTTTCAGGCGTTTGTAGAGAGCAATAATGTCTCCCCTGAGCCTCCTCTTCTCCATACTGAACAGCCTGTTCCTTCAGCTGCTCCCCATAAGACTTGTGCTTCAGACCTCTCGCAGCTTTGTTGCCCTCCTCTGGATACAGATCCAGAGCCTCAATGTCTTTCTTGTATTGAGAGGCCCAAGACAAAGCAGTACTTGAGGTGAGGCCTCAGCAATGATGAGTATCAATGGCAGCACCTGCCATGGTGTCAACCACAGCCCTTCCTGCAGAGCGGCCTGGGAACCACTCAGCCTGCTGTCCCATGGCAGGTGATATCCTTGTCCTGGGGTCTTTGTTGCAGTCCTGTTTCCCCTCATTCCTCCTCACGCAGGGCCCATTCTGACCAAGCTGCTTTTATGCTGACAGAAGGTTGTTGTCTAGGAGTATCTGAAGGAAGAGCTTACAGCAGGAGGTAGCTCAGTAGATGTCCCCTTGCTTCTGACTTCATCCACACCTGAGAGTCCAATCTGCCTGATAGGAAGTGTTTTTCACATTTGTATGACCTCTTCTTGGATTTTCCTATCATCTGCTTTGATGTGACAGCAGTTTCTGCTCATTTTGTGCTATCGGCAAAAGCCCAAAAATACTGCTCTTATCTACACCTGTTCCCACCACGGAAAGTGCTGCCTAAGAAACTGGGGAGACTGCAGAGGCTATGACTCACTGCTTGTGAAGCAACCACCTCTTCAGAAATCACAAAATGGCATGCTTGCTGTTTTAAGTAACCACAAAAGTTGCTGGTTTGTTTGTTTGTTTTCCTTTACTTTGTATATTTGAGACAATTTTGTGTTTTATGCTTGCAGTACTGTTGGATTTCCAGCTGGCTTGCCTGCAGTGCTGTCACACTGTGCAAGGCTGTGCAAGGACAGGAGAGGCAGCAGGTGGAAGGGTGGAGAGAATGGGGAGCAAGAAGGGCCTGGTTGTCATCACACTGTTGCCTCACACCTCACCCATTTCTTTTAAGCCTGATAGGGATGATTGAAACTTTCCTGGTTTGGATTCTCTGCCCTGATGGAGCTGTATGGGTCAAGGCCCAGTACGGATGTGCACAAAATTACAGCCTACAGTTCTCCACGATGATGCTGATGGAGAAGTCTCAAGTATTTCCGAGTTACCACAGATTTGTGCTCTTTGCATTTCCAACTTTTTTCTTGGAACCACAGTTGTGTTTGGCATCTCTATCTACATCTAAGTCTATCCCCATTTGGAATTTAAAATCTGTCACTCTGCTTGGCAGCAATTCCCCCATACATTTTTAGCATATACTCACTGTTATCCACAGACTTGTTCTTCATTTCTTTCTCCAACTAAAGCTTTAGCTCATCCTCCTTTTAAAGTAAAAAACACTCTCTTCACTCTGCAAAGCAGAAAAATACCAGTTAAATACCAAAGGTCTTCAAACTTTATTTGATTTGCAGTTTATGTTATTAAACACAACTCTCTGAGCAGTGCCCTGGGGTGCATGCCTTTGTCAGTCAGTAAACAAATCTTTTCTACTGTGTTTAAATATGTACTTACCTGGCTAAGGCTGCTTCTTTCCAGTAAAAGCACTTACAAACACATATCACATTAAGCTTTGAGATTTCAACACAATCAGAAGCTGATATGTTGTGGGTTTCTGTGCTGATTTTTCCTCCCAGGTTCCTAATTTTGAGCACGAAATTTGGCTGCCTCACTGTGGATTCCCTATTTCTCAAGGGCACAATTAATGTGGAAAATTAACAATTAACAAGTGGAAAAATGAAACCATGCAGCGCCAACACGACAACATGGCAAAACCTAAACTTCATTTGTTTATTTATTTTTTTTCAGTTGTTTGATTCACTTTGTTTTCAGTGGACTCCCTTTGGAACCAGTGTTGAAAACGTTCACTGCCTCACACAGCTGAGGAATACGTGGATACAGTGAGCTGATAGTATGCTGCTGATTAAAAAATCTAATGCAAGGAAACAGGGAAAACAAATGATAAAGCACTGATGCATGGGGAGGCCCATTCTGCCATAAACTGTGGCAGAAACGTTTCATTTCTTGAGAAAGTATGGCCGTGACCTTTCCTGCTTAAAATATTTAAAACCTATGTTTATTTTTATTTTATTTTTTTTTAACTAGTTCTTAGTTTAAACTAATTTTATGGGGGAAAAAAAAAAGGCAATTTTAAGATGAAACAGTGTCAGGTTGCTGTTCTTGCCAGAACTGCCAACTCTGGCAACCCCCCTCGTGCTGGAAACCAACACGAGACCTGTGAATATGAAATCTCATTTTAAAAAACAGGTTTGGAAGGCATAAAATCTTCTCAAGAAAATCTGTCCGTGTTAACGGATGGATGTCATTTCCTCCCTTGTTAGCTATTCTAGAGCAGGCAGATCTTTAATTTACATCTGCTGTCTCCTAGTGACATAAAATATGGCTTGGTGACACAGTCTAAATGAAGAAACTGATGGTCAGAGAACAATTAATCACCTTCTCACTCATAACTTCACACAAAGATATTAGGTATATTTGGGATACTGTGACATCTGAAGATGAAGACAACGCTGTGCTGAATTTAAAAGGTGCCTCAGAGGGTAGTGGCTTTGTTTTCACTGAAACAAATTGGAACCTCAGGGTCCTGCATGGTGCAATGAAACTATCCTTTCCCAGTGAGCAGCTGTAAGTGCCTGGAGCTGCTGAAGACTATTGATGACATGCTGAAGACTATTGCATGGCACCACACTGTGAAGGCTTACATGAATGCAGAATAGCCTCAGTTCAGATAACTGGAGATGCAGCATCAGAGAGGTGGCCTTAGGCTGAACACTTGGCAATTCTTCCCCCACTTTTTCCATAAAACAGAGAGAACATAATTATAAAATCACAGAATGGCTCTGGTGGAAAGGGACCTTACAGATCATCCAGCCCTAACTCCAACTGCTGGGCAGGGCTGTGCCCCACCAGCTTGGGCTGCCCAGAGCCCCATCCAGCCTGGTCCTGGGCACCCACAGCTTCTCTGGGCAGCAATGCCAGCCCCTCACCACCCTCTGAGTAAAGAATTTCTTCCTAACATCTAATCTAAATTTCTCCTCTATTAGTTTAAAGCCATTCCACTTTTCCCTATCACTAAGACCGTATAAAAAGTCAGTCCCCCTCCTGCTTGTAAGTTCCCTTCTAGTACCATGATGAACTCTCCCCAGAGCCTTCTCCAGGCTGAACAAGCCTGCTTCTTCAGCCTTAAATCTTTTAGTAGCTATGCCTATCTGCAATAAGATGCATATATGGCTGGTCAGCGCAGCACCATAAGCTCAGTTAAGATGCTGGACTTACAACTGCCACAATATCCTGTTAGTGTCTGGCTTCAATACTGGAGCTACACATACTCTGCAGTGTGAACACATACATAAGCAATCCTGGTGTGGTGGTTGCACAAGACACCAGGGGCATCCGGACTTGGCACTGGGCTAATCATCCTGTTTGCTGCAGCACTCCAGTAAAAGCCAATTATACCAACCTTCAGTAACATTTATATCAGTGACAGACTGCAGACATTTATAGTCTTCATCAATGAACAGGCTCAGCTAGGCTAAATTGCTCTGCAAAGCTTTATAGTAAGTAATTATCAATAACAGGAAGCTATGGTAATGGTTACAAAAGAAAGAACAACTGGTTGTGCAGTCATTAGCTCCAGAGCACCAAATGAGGCAGGCAAACAGCATGGGCTGTGGTGGAATTAATAGGAGGGACGGCAGCAGCAAGTGGCATCTCCCACAGAGAGGGACAGCGGTGGGGGGCTGAGGTAGATGCTAAAAGACACTTGCTTTGGCAACAGCAGCCTGTACACAGCAGTAGATAGATGGAAGTCAGATGCTGATAGTAATAAGGTGCATTAAAAATAAATCTAGCCTAATTAGGTATTTAAGAAAAAAAAAAAAAGACATGAATCTGACAGCTCAGCAACTGGCAGCTGTTTAGATCTAGCAATTATCTCAAGGATAACAAATCCATACTGGAGCACCAGGAAGCGGGCAGATGAAGTGCCCTGCTGTGCACCCTGAACTGGGCTGGAAGTGTCCATTTTCTGAAGCTATGGGCCCTGCAGTTTTGGAAAAGAGGGTATTTTTAACATCTCTAATACTGAAGCCCGCTAAAGTATTAGCTAATTCTTTGAAAGCCTTTGGCTGTATGCTTGTTGAGGAGCATTCACCTGCACCTGTGAATTCAGGGGCCAATGAAAATGAGCTCACAAGCTCAGGACCTCAGCAGACAGATCAATCACGTACGTGGTGATGTGGGCTTCCCTCAGCATCCCTCTCTAACAACTTCCATGCACCATTTGTCAGCAGAGCGAGGAGTGCTGTGTCCCTTCTTGTCCTCTCTGCTGAGAGCGTAAATGAGGAAGGCAAATATGAGCAACCTCTTTGGAGGGATCGGATGTTGCCTGCTGGGTACTGTGCTGCAATTAAGCAACTTGTTTCACATCCCAGCATGACTGAGATGGCAGGGTGAAACAGGAGCAATGCTAGTTAGAAAAAGAGGACAGTCAAAAGATGTGCAGAGGGGAAACAGAAAGCAAACAGTAAGATGAAAAACATGGACCCAAAACAAAAGAGCATATCATGCATGGGAAGCAGAGGAACATATTGCAAGCAGAAACTTGCAAAAGAGGCTGCTGACCCCTCCGGACAAGAAAGTATGTCTTTCCTTTCTGCTGCTTGACTCTATTTTGAGCCAGTTACATTAACCAAACAGCTCCCTCTGTTCCTCCTGGAGAACATGGGGAACTCGT